TTTACCACAATTAGGAGGTAGAGAAGATAAAAAAGACTTTCAATAAGCATTTAAAATATATATCATTTTTTGCTGAACTTTAAAGTGTTTCAGATTCTTATGAATGAATAATATCCCCCCATTTTAGTATAGTTCTTTGCTCAGTGATGTGAGGATAATTTCCCACCAAAGATAACTACAATGCTCTTTTATAAGCTAGGGATTCTGAATTCCATGCATGATCTCATATATGGCAGAATATCAATCATTATCTCCTAAACAAACAAGCAAACAAACACATGGTCTCAACAGAAGAGGATATCACCATGGTGCTGAGTGCTTTGAGACAATCCAATCTTTTAAATCTTATGCTTTAATTATAGCTATATCAAATAAACTTAAAAATTACTATTACATTGATATTAATCATCAATCATCTAGAATGCTTTCAAGTTGAATGGGATCACAGAGGCTGTTATTTTGAAACAAAGACAGATCTGATTACCATGTGCATGCCTTTTCTTGACTGCTAAAAAAATTTTGTGTATATTTAAGAATCATTACATTCAAGCTTGAGAAAATAAAATTACAAATGCATATTTTTATTTTCCAACAAAGATCTCCTCTCAGATGTCTTGATTTGTCTCAGAACTAAGATCAGAATTAACTCATTTCTCCCCTCATAACAACAGTCCACGAGAATCACACAATCTATCTTTTCTTCCCTTGTGATATACCTCAAAATATCTTTTTGGACTGTAACCATGTGAAAACATAGATAAAATGTTAAACTTCTTTAGCCCTTAAGTCCCTGTTAATGTTAAAGAAGAGGAATTGGAAATTAGCCTCATATAACCATTATGTTCTCTTTTAATTCTAAAATTCTGTCATGTTGTGCTTATGTGATTTTGTTCCCAATGTTACTTCATACTGTCCTCCTCATTTCATGCAATTACATCGTAACTGTTCTCTACTCATCCAGGCTAGCTATGTTTTATTAAATCCTGTGCCTTAAGCAGTCATCTTCCAAAATGCCCACTTTCAGCATGCCACCTTTATGCTTGAAGCGCTCCTGGCTTCTCACTGCTGACCTGGAAAAGACTAAACTTATCATGTGTAATGGATTCAGTACTCTGCCATCTGGCCATGATGAGTCTTTTCATCTTTATGACCACCACTCTGTCACAGGAACTCTAATTCCAATCAAAGTGGGCTATTAAACATTTCAGGCTCATGCCCTGAATGCGACATTCCCATTTCCATGCTTTGCTCATTTAGAATGGCCTCCTTAGCTTTTCTTAGCTATTTGCATTTCATCTGTCCTTTATGACCCAACTCAGATTGCATCTCTTTCATGCTCTTCTCCATTAAACTACCTCTAATGCATACACTTTCCTTCTCCCTAATGCCTTATCCATAGTAGAGTCTCCCTAACAGGTAGTACCAGTCACTTTAAAAAACTTTCTTGAGGAATAATTAACAAATATAATTGTATATATTTATAGTGTACAATGTGATCATTTGATTTACATCTACATTGCAGAATGATTACCAAGATCAAGATAATACCATTCACTTTTTAAAAACCTTATTATGCAATGTTCAATACTACTTACTTTTGATTTATTATAGCATATATTTGGTCTATTTCCAAAATGATGATGAGAGAGCTTACAATAACAGCTACATACAACAGCATGCCAGTTGAAAATGAAAGTGAAAATTCAAATCCATATGTGGGAAAGAATAAGTAACATGAGTTAATGAAACTTAAAAATCTAGTTATATGTTTCCTGGCAGTCAAACCAAAAAAGAACCCATTAGTTACCATTTGGCAGTGGCTAACTGTTGTGATATTGTATGTGTGTGTATTTTTTAGAACTTTTCATCTGTATGCATCTTATCTCATAACTCTAATCTTTGTGATTTCAAGGAATTACTTTAGGAATTACCTTTTGTAGTATCTAGCACAGTGTTTAGCATATGATAAGACTTTAATAAATGAATTGATTGATGGCTAATGTGATATCAGAGTCATAAATGTGAAGCCATTTTATTTATCTAGAAATTCAAAATATATGCATAATAAGCACATGAATGAAAACGTGGACGTAAGAAGACCTAGAAATCTTGGAGGGAGAAGGGTCTGAAGTTGTGATCACTTTAATTAAAGGAAATTAAAAAAGCATTCATAGCCCACTATTTTTGGATGAGTATCTATACAGATATCTCATCTTATGGAGCAACAAACCTTTAGTAATATAAGAAACAAATTCAGTGGAACTAAATGGTATAGACTAATTTATGCCATTATCAGTGGAGTAGGTGATAAAACACCTTATTAAAATATAATTTCATGACACACACAGCTTCTGAGTTTTCCTCCCCTCCCTAAACAGCTGTTTTATGGGATGGAGAGAACACTATGCAGATGACACTATGCTGTTCCTCACACTGTACATCAGGGTTTAATTTCTTCTCCATCTACAGTTATTATTCTAAACTTCATAGAGGAATCTTTGTAAAATGCAGGAAACACTCTAGTCTGGTGCTGTCCAAATGTTCTATATCTATGCTGTCCAGTATGGTAGCCACTAGCCTCATGTGTTGAGAACTCTAAATGTGGCTGGAGTGACTGAGGAACTGAATTTTAAATTTTATTTTATGTAAATTACTTGAAATTTAAATTTAAAGTGGCTAGTGAATACAGAATTGGACAGAGCTGCTTTTACAGAGCTGCTTGCCTTTAGAACAGAACTTTCCCTACCTGATTTGGCACCTTCGGTAGTGGATTCAATTGCTCACTGTTTCTTTATTAGCAAGTGAAGTTTTAAGCTACCATGCATTAACAGTGAAGTTTTGGATGTCTCTATTATTTTAAGAAATCTATGCCAGCAAAATAAAATTTAGGAAAATTCATTATTTACTGTCATGGTAACATAAAGAGGATCATCCCTGTTTCTGTCATTATGTTTATGCTTGTACTCAAAGACCTAGGAGTTTCTGTAGGGTATAGGCCCTCTTCCTCTGCCCTACTGGCACATGGCACTAGTTGGGTCTCTCTCTCTCTCTCTCTCTCTCTCTCTCTCTCTCTCTCTCTCTCTGCAGGGCATTTTGAAGTTTTGTCTAAGTGGGGCATCTGAGTAAGTGGGCCTAAGAAATTCTTCTCAAGGTGGATTTTTCTGTCTGACTGTCTTGTTTTGCTCACAGTTCTATGAGCAAGTGGGCGGGGTTTGCTTTCTCCAGCCAGCAGGAGCTTGCTCTAACTTTTCCTTTTAATTTCTTTAATATGAGGATCCCAATACTTGCTCTCTGAAATGCTATTTTGTAAACTGCTATTTCCTCTAAGCCTGTTATGCCCTTTTTCCATCTGCGTTGTAGTCTCTTTTCCCAGCGGGCTTTTCTTTCTCAACTTAGTCATGCTATGTGTGGGGAGCCACATCCACACTACTGGCCTCTCTGACTCATCTGGAAGGTTTGCTTGCTCCAGGAACCCCACTCACACTGTGGTGGAACAACAGGGAGGCTCCAGAGAAGCCAGACCTTTCTGAAATCTGCCTCTTTTCCTAGCATCTCTCCTCCTTGTCCAAAGCTACAGGAGAAGGGAAAAAAACAAAAAATGTCCTTACCACCTTTAAGGTAACATTTTTAGTAAATAGTTTATAGAAATTCTAATTTTCAGTTTATAAGCTACTTTTGTTCTTGCTGCTGCCTTTAAATATTCCGTGATCTGGCTAGTAGAAAAACCTGCTAATACTCCAACTTTCCTTTTCCTTCTACCAACAAGCCAAGAGAGTCAATTCTGACAGTTACATTTTCCTTCTAGTTACAGATTAAATTGTTCCCCTATATGAAATTTATTATTCATAAATGTGAACAGTCTCTGAACTACAGCTTCTTCCATCCAGGGACAGGAGGCCTGGTGGGTGAAATTGTTTGTTCACTCCATTGACTGCTCTGGGGTTGTACAGAACTGAGTCTTTACATTCTATTTTCCAGGCCAGGACTTTCCTTGGCCCTCCCAGTACCTCAAAGAAAACTCTCTGCCAAGGATGGCTCGTGCTCATGACTTCACAATCCAGATGGGTTAAGACAATAAATTTATCTGACTTGATTTGCTGAAAGGGTGAAAGTTAAATAACATACTGAAATAAAAAACTAACCACCAAGTCAGATCTAAGTTTGACCAACAACCTGTTCAATTAACCTATTTTTAATCTCACCAAGTACATCCTTAAAGTATAAAAAGGAACTCCAACTGGAATGTCCCATTAGCTCAGGGAAAGCAGATCCAAGTAGTCACCAAAGAAGCAACTTTCCACATCTAACTAGAGGTGTCTATGGGGGAAATCCAGAGGTGCACATTTTTTCGATTTTGTAATTTTGTTTAGCTGTGCACAAGTGCCATGTTTTTCCAGTTAAAATGCCCTTCATAGATACGGATATATTTGAGTATATATGTATGTATATTTGCACAATCTTTGTCTTTAGTTGGAAGCATTTCGACCCACTTTATTATTTTTAAGAAAATCACTTCAGTTATTCAATTTTAGCTGAGGGGAACATGCCCACTTTGTATTTCAGCTTTCACCTTTGGCACAAGACCTTAGAAATGACCTTGCTGCTTTAATTCTTTATGCAGTGGGCACCACCCTTCACTAGACTTTCAACCTGGGACCCCAGAGAGCATGACCTGTGTGTAGCGTAACCATCTCACCCTTTCAAGAACTGAGGGTTTGTGGCTAGGATAAGGAGGTTCATCTGCCAGGAGAAGAGTGCAGTTCGATGAACGCTCGCAAAGCTCCAGTTAGCTAAATTCCAGCTGAACTAACCAGCAGGATGGGGGAGGGAGATGAGGCGTTTCTGACGACCGCGGGAGCTACCGCGCATCAAACCCAGAAAACAGTTTGTGTGGGCAAAGGTAGAGCAGGGTGCCCAGGCTGCTGGCCAGAGGAGGCTGTCCCGGCCCTGACAGCATCCCCTCTGGAGACGTCCCCTCCAGGCCGGCCATCTCTCCTTACCTTGACCACGTGGTCGTTGAGATGCTTGGGGTCACGGTTGACCAGGTCGATCTCCTTGGTATGAGCGTCGTACACTTGCCTCTCGTTCATTTCCTCTGCCATGGCCTTGTTGTTGGGCTTGTAGATGTTGCCCTGTTCCCGGACGGGAACGGTATAGAGATGTCCCTGTAGAGGGCGGACAGCCACGAGAGAGAGTGGCACCAGCGGTCGGAAGAAATTTTCCAAAAGAAAAACAAGTGATGAGAAGTCAGCCTGGCGGCCGAGCAAACCTCCAGGCGCAAAGTCGATCTAACCGCTTCTACAGCAGTGGCTCCGCAGCAAGTCAACTCCCAGGCGCAGCAAGCTTTTTAAGAGAATCGGGGAGAAGACACCACACCCCTCCCCACCAGGCAGGGAGC